AGTTACAGTGGTCTTTAGTTTATCAGTGCAAAAGTACTCCCTAATATCAGTTAAGCTTTTGCTTATGTTCTCTGATGGATGGCACCTCACAGGCAAAGAAGGAAGAGTGTTTTAAGATCCCCTAGGCCAATGTGGGAGAGCACTGGAGAAGAGTGAGTTTTGTGAATATGTAACAGGCCTCATTTGAGCATATAGCCTGCATAAATCTAAGCATCAGTGTTCCCTCTGTATATAGTTATTGTTAAGAGGAATGCGTTTCCCCTAGCCCCATTTATATTATCATACATACCAAATATCATGATTTCTTAGTTCAGTCTATACAATACATTTAATTGAATAAGATATCCTAATAAACAGAACGTGTGTAAGCAATATTTATATATGTTTATCCAACATACTTCTTGCTTTTAAATAACATCATAACCCTAAAGAGCATGTCTTTTAAGACAGATATACTGTATAAGCCTTTTCCATTGGTCAAAGTTAGCTTGTCCCACTCAAGAGTCCATTTGTAGGGCAAAAAAGGTTTGTTGTGAAACAATGACAGATAATTAATATGCATTTCCATGATTCATAGCAGCCGCTTGCTCTACACACTATTACCCTGAGTGTAAGTGCTTCTGCATTTGCATGGGCTATATTTACTCACCCATGGCAGCCTCATCATCAGGTGGGCCCTCATACAGCAGCTCACAGCGGTACTTCTGAGCTGTCACTGGGGAGGGCAGGTGAATGGTGATCATCTGGAGCAGGGCATCTCCAGCAGGCAGCCACCGCCGCATCACTGCCTGAACAGAACAGCAGGCAAATGGCATGGCACAGTTAGTGTCTCAGAAAGAACATGAGGTGGTATTCATTACATGAACCCTGGCTAACAATTCTGCATAACATTCATCCATGTCTTCCAATTCACAGGGGTCACAGTTCTGCATAACATTCATCCAATTCACAGGGGTCACAGGGGAGCTGAAGCCTATCCCAGCAAGCAAAGGTGTATGACAGGACACCCTGGATGGGATGCCAGTCCAGCACAGGCACATACAGACACACTCACACCTAGGGTGTGGGCTTGAGTGAATTTTCCCTGAGACCGATTAACCTGCGACTGTAGGAGAAAACCCACGCGAACATGGGGAAACACTTACAAACTCGACACAGACAGCATCCCAGGTCTGAACCCAGGACCCCCGCACTTTGAAGCAACAATCCTAACCACCAGGCCACCGTGCAGCCCATAACAACACCAAAACAAAACAATAACACAGTGCTGACTCAATGCTTTAAGGAGAAGCATTCAAAGTATAGACTACTACCAATAATAATTCAACCAAAATCTGACAGTATTTTTGAATACTTATATATCATTAAAGATTAAACAAAGATAGATACCTTCAGCAATGGTTTACCCTCCTTTTCTTTGTCTTCTGAATCCAACTTGATATCCAATTTCTCAATCATCTTTGTTGTTTCTTCTTTCTTGAAGTTCATGATGGCATCAAAGACCTGTATGTTATTAAAGAAAACTAATATTAAAAAAAAATAAAGGAACTTTCTGTTACTGCTTAAAACTAATTTATATTAATATGTGCAAACAAACAGAGTGCTGCACGTAAAAAAAAAACACATTTTAACACATTTCATTTAAGGAGTTTTCACTCATACTGTATGTTTTGAACTGTCAGTCTAACCAGGGTAAGAAATGCTAGCAATATCTGATAATTAAATACTGTATAAAAATAATTATTAGAAATATTACACTATTAAAAACAATAATAAACTTAATACAAGCCCACATGTCCATAACTATTTTCCACTTTTTTAAATTTTCTTTCTCACAGCATCCTTAAGCAGATTCATGAAGCTGTACAGCATGGCGACGGGATAAAAAAAAGTCCTAAGTACCTTGAAGATGGGATCTAAGACAAGCTGGCAGAAAGTGCGAGGCAGTTTCTTTCCTTCAGCATTGGTGGCTGTCTTGCTAAATTTACCTGCTGCAGGATCAAAGTATCTGGAACAAGGAACATCAATTAATGACGAGTGATATTCAATTATTTAATTGCAGCTGTATTTGGAGTCCAAGATGCCCAAGATTTCTGTTTTTTTCATAAGAAAACACAAAGTGTCTAAACAACATTTTCACAGCAAAAGAGAAATTCTTTGCAGGCACACAATGAAGTAATACAGTATAATCTAGACCTCCTCCTTCAGAATTATTACACAGAACTGGACTTGCTTTGTTATCTGGTCTTTACACACGGATGGTAAAGACACTCACTTTTCTCCCCAGAGCTTCTTCATCATGTCCTCCACTTTCTTGGCCCGTTCGCTAGGGGGCAGCTGTGCCTTCTCACCTTTAGCGGTGAATTTGGCAACATACATCTCAGCAAACTGCTTCAGGGTAAAGGCCCAGCCGTGAAGTCCTGATCCAAAACCAACTGTGCCGATGACTGGATCCACCTAAATTTCACACAGAACCAATAAAAACACATGACTGGTCTCAAAGTCGCCAAGATTCCACTGCCTGAATGGTAACGGTGGATGATCTGACATTCTTGTTAAACACAGTATCCTTCTGTAAGTGCTTGGCTTTCATTTACCATGATGTTGCCCATGGGCCCACTCTCCCCCTCTCCGTACGTGGAGATGATGACGTTGACGTTCTCCACGATGCGCTGGAAGGTCAGGTAGAGCTCGTCGGGTTCCAGCTGCAGCTCCAGCAGGGCACGGTCCATCTTGTTCATCATCAGCACGGGCTTGATCCGCTCGGCGATGGCCTGCCGCAGCACCGTCTCCGTTTGCACGCACACACCTGTGCAACACATCGTCCTTCAGCTCACCCTTCACTCTACTTCAGGCCTGGTCCCAACAGGCCATCCCCCATGCACAGAAGAACTACAGTGGGTTTTTTGCTGGATGACCTTTAGAATCCAAAATTTATCTCTAATGAAGATAATCTGTGGGCAGCACGGGGGCGCAGTACTTAATATTGCTGCCTCGTGGTGCTGGGGCCCTGGGTTCAATTTCAGACCTGGGCTGCTATTAATGTGGAGATTGTACGTTCTCCCCGTTTGCATCCAAAAACCAACTTCATACTGGTAGGTTAATTGGCCTCTGGGAAATTTGGCCCTAGGTGTCTATGGATGTGTCTGCCCTACAGTAGACTGGCGTCGTGTCCAGGGTGTAGCCTGCCTCGCACCTGTTGCTTGCCAAGATAGGATCCCCCACAACCCTGAATTGGAAGAAGGGGTTAAAAAATGGATGGATGGAAAATAATCTGTTATTTATCTCTCATTCAAAAGTATTTTCTCCGTACGCGTACTTTAAGTGGATATATTCTGCACGTACAAAATCTGTCCAGTTATTGTTAAAGATGGCGGTGAGCTAGAGCCAAGACCAAGAGAAAAAGGACATATAGGGAGGACAATTTGGAGACATCAGCTAATAAGGACTGTCTTCAGACTGTGGGAAGAAATTGTAGCATCAATCAAAAACCTCAGGAAGAACGTGTATACCTGTAATTGAACCCAGGACAGAGAAGCCATAGGGCAGCATAGCCCTAGGTCAAGCCACCATGCCACCCTTGTACAAAATATCATCCAAAAAAAAATGTAAAATAGGGAAACGTATGAGTCATGTAGGATTTTCTGAAATGATGGGCTTTTTGTTTTCCTTGGCTGAATCTGAATGTCTAGCTACACGATGTGAATGCTTATTAGCAGAAGCAGAAGGTTTTAACTTCTAACAAGAGGAATATCAAATTAATTAAGTTTGTTATTATTAAATATAATAACATTGATACTTCATATTGTTAAATATAATAACATTGATATTTAATATTTTAAATATTACATTACGCATTACATTACATTAAAAAATCCAATGTTGCCTTACTATGGTAAACACAATTAAATATCATGTGATCCATACTTCCCTTAGCTAAGCCACTAATATATTAAATAGGATTCAGCAGGTGTCATTAAACCATTCCATGGATAATGTTTAATTTTGTAAAAGAAAACCACCTCAAATATTTTGAGAATCATTAAAATTCCATCTAATTAGTATTGGAAACAATAGCATTTGTGGTGTTTTTAATGCTTCTCAATATATTTTAAGAAGGCATTAAAAGATTTAATATTAATATTAATGGATTTCTTACAAAAGTCCAAATTTTAGCTATAAATGACAGTGAATCAGTCCACCCAGCCATATTCTCAAGTTCCAGTTCTCCACAAAATGATCTCCAGAAACAGTGATACTATTACACATCAAACAAAAATTTGCAAGCCTGGTTTGGGTTCAGAATTCCTAAACATTCAGAGTTACAAAAATGTATTGTGATTTGCAGGAATATTTTAGATAGGTTAACAAGGAAGTAATGAAGTAACTCAACAAGTATTTTCAAATCCTAAACAATATTCAATCAGTTTTGCAAGGACTGACGATGTGTACAAATATTTGTATTTCTTGGCAGGTGCAGTAAAAATGCTTTCCATGACAACTAGTAAATCTAGAAGATAACATTTTAACTTCAGCAATGCCATACCTGAAACACAATCTACAACTACAAGTGCACCATCAGTGACACGCAGAGCAGCAGTCACTTCGGAGGAGAAATCAACGTGACCAGGAGAGTCAATCAGGTTAATGAGGAAACCAGAGCCATCTTTGCACTGTTTGATGAAGGCCAAGTCATTGTCACTGAGCTCATAGTACAGAGAAATAGCTCTGTAAGGAAGGCAACATATAAAAGAAAGGTTAAGCAAATATAATTACTTGGGTTATAAGGAAAAAAAAGAAAATACTGTATACTACCATGGAAATTTTACAGAAAAGAGTCACAAATCAGATAAACTACTCTTCCATACACATGTTAAAAAATCATATGCCACCTCAGAAACGAAAAGTCTTTTTTGTGAAGAGTTAGCCATGAAGTGACAGCTTTTTGGCAAAAATCTGCCATTAGTATACCAGGCCAGGTATACTTTTACCCTAAACATCCTGTGGTCAATTGCCATTGATTTATTAATATTAATACTGCTTGTCTTTTTTATGAATTTAATAGTACTTATTAAAAACAAATTCCCTTATATACTTAGCTTGCTTTGCCAAATGATTATCTATTGGGAAATAAACTATGTTATGGTAGGCAGACTACTGTAAAATATGTTTTCCATGTGTTTCATTTTTGTTTGCAGTTGCTTAGTGTTTTTTTAGCTTATACATGTGATTTTAACCATGTTTTAAAAGGTTTCTATAAACTGTAAATTACAATGAACAAAAAACTGGCAGTCCTTTAGTTTTTGTTCTTTTCAGCAGCTTTAATTTATGCCTTTTCCTGGACTATTTCTCAATCACAGGGAGTGGCACAATTGAAACACGGTCAGAGAAAACATTACTTTGTCTCTGTGCATTTACAGAAAGAAAGAGTCAGCCGATCTGAGGCTTTTCTAGTTCTCTTCAAATATGGATGTGGCCGTGGAAGAAAAAGGGTATCAGATTGTCACTTAAACTGATGGACAGATGAGATCATTTGAACCCTTTCACGTTGTATCTGGTACAGTACTTTATTAGCCTGCTGTTTCTCACTTTGTTACCAGTGAATTGCCAATCTATTACCATTTATCTTCAGAATGTAGAATATGTATGTATGAATGAATGTAGAACTCAGAGCAACACTGCACATTATATCAAATTATATCTTGAGGGAAGTAAAGAAGCAAATTACTGACATCTGATTTATTAAGATATTTATTGTTAAACTTCTACGGACGCTTTTCCAGTTCTTCAGTAACTGTCACATGAGATCTGCTGGACTCAACAGGAGCATACATAACAAAACATTTTGTTTTCTACACAAATTGGTAAAAAAAAATAGGAAAATGTAAAAATAAACAAGATCATTATATCTGTCATTGACTTAGAGTAGAAGATTCAGTATTAATTACCTGAGAAATACTTACGTTGACTTAATGGTGATGCATCTTTCCTGTTCATCTTTCCTTGTGTCTGTGAATCTGGTCTCCCCAGCCCTTGCAGAGGCAATAATTCCTGCTTTGCACACTAAAGAGTCTGTCAGGGTTGACTTTCCATGATCTACGTGTGCAATCACGGACATGTTCCTGATGTTGGACTTCTTGTCCATGATTGCCCGGATCTGGTCTACAGTGAAGTTCACCTAACAAGAAAAAAAATATTGGCCTATACATTTGACAAATACTTTATACTGACCCTAATTCAACAGATAACGTTTCAATACACCTCCAGCCATAATAGTTTGTGCACACTTAAACGTGCATTTAATTAAAAATATAGCTATTGTGCCTCCAAAAAGTTCAATGATAACCAGAATGATCAATTAACATTTTAAAATATCTTACACTTGTTTAATATAAAGCAAACTTTGTAGAATATGTTTATCCATGTTTAAAAAACATTTGTATTGAGCTCCTTTCTGAATAAGTCAATGTCAATAGTGTGAGTTCATCCCTAGAAATGTCAATTGTTCCTTCAGCTTAGACACGCTGTGAATTCTTCTTAATTTTCAAACTAAAATATACATGGTACAATCCCAAAAGGCTCAAATTAAAATTGCCCAATTAACATTTTCAAATAAAGCAGTTACAAATTAAGGTTAAGAATGTCAAGAACAGTGCATGCGATTTACTAATACAGCCATTACTACATTCTAACAAATGATAAGTGAAAAACAGAAAGATAAATGTGGCAGTTGAGAATGAACAGTTTAACACGAACAAGAAACTGACAGAAATTGAAACTACGTGTATGTGTATTTAAAACCAAGGATAAGAGGCATAGCATATCTTTACCCATAGCTTTGTGGGCATATGGAACAAGCTTCCTAGCTGGATGAGGTTCTTGGATCAATAAGCTTTTAACTACCAAATGGATCAGATGGGCCAAATGCCTCCTCTCTTTCTTATGTTCTTAAGTTAGCGATTTTGCCTGATGGCTCTAGGATCACAAGCTTGATTCAATTCTGAGACACCTTCTGGGTGGAGTTTGCATGTTGACATTTTCTATGAGCAGGTTTTCTCTGATCTCCTCCCACCTCCCAAAGAACTGCTGGCAAGATTAACCGCTATCTCTGAATTGTGTGTCTGAGCTTTACAATGGACTGAAATCCCATCCGGAGTGTAGTCCTTCCACCTTTATTTCCCAGACAGACTGGGTTGCTAGTGGGTTGCAAGGAATAAAAGTATCGAAAGACTAACGAATACACTAACTTAAAAAAAGCAATTAACCTGACCAATCTATCATTGTAAATCATGAGTTGACAAGTTTTGATTGGTGCCATATGTTTTGTTTCAATTTAACTCAGGAATGATGATGTGCATTTTTTAAACAACACATTCATGTTTGCCTAAATAATTAGATAAATAAAGTTATTAGGAGCAACTTAACAGTCCTTATTTTTGTCTTCTTTTAATGTGTTTATAGCATCCAGTTAAAGGTACCTTCCAAAATAACCTAATCTGTACTGTTATGCTGTTTACAGCCATTAATGCATATCTGTTCCCTAACAAATGAGTTTAATAATAATTTACACTTATCGACTCCATTTTTTAATTATCGGAATTAACGATTATAAAATCGTCGGTTTTCATGTCTTATTAGGGGTGACAGTTAATTCACTCTTAGATGCTCATGAAAAAAAATACATCAAGGATGCTTCAATGTTTGAATCACCTTCAATTGAGCTTCCTCTATTTATAATTTATTATATTGATTAATTAATAATCGGGCGTCAGTCGTTGTTTATTAATAGGTACCGATTCGGTTCAGATTTTTCATGAATTGCTGTCATATTAGTGTAATGTGTTAAGAACTCTTTGCTTAGTTTACACAAAGCGTGAGGCTGGCCTTGCAGATCTGGTTTAACCTGTGCATGGTGAGGGGCCCTTCCCCGTTTCTTGTGTCTGCCGCATTACCGCCGCCCACACAACACACAGGCTGCACGCAGGCAGCCAGCGCTTTCTATCCAGGAAACCCAGCCTTTCACAACCCGGCGGACCGCAGTGCCAAAATAAAACCCAACGTGAAGCGGCGATTTCACATCGGGATGGTGCGTTTCTACAAAATTTTGCAATCCCCACTGACGTCTGATATTATGCAAATTAAAGCCAGAGAGGTGAACGCCCAGCGAAGTACAAGTGGGCGGGCCCTCACTATTTATAAACAGGGGGTAACGCTATTCCCATTTCTCTACACCCCTCCCCAGATGGGGATAGGGGAAGCACAAAAAGCGAAAGCCTAAAACATTTGACATTTGACGTTAAAGAACTGAAGGGAGTCGATAGTAAATGGTTATCTTGGAGCAATATGCGCACAACAGAGACTGTGAGTGTGTTTTGATAAACATGATCAAACATGAGAGGTGGACACGCTCAGGCGACACCATAACACAAGACTACAGTGCTCTCACATTTCCTGGAATATTTTAACCGAGGCGTTTTAATTTGAGATCAGCGTTAAATTGCAAAAGGTGTTTAATTCCGTTATTCAGACAATACTATTTTTTGATCATGTCAAAAAGTCTAGTATTCGCGTTGTCAGATAAATAACAGGTAGTTTTGATCCATTACGTGATCTGAAATAAACCTCTTCTGTGTCTTTAAAACGGGAGAATAAGTCGATATTACATTCAAAATATGCAGTTACGAACGAATTCTGATCTATTTCTGGACTGCTCATACATTTATAAGCAAACGGCTTACCATTTTGGCGAATATCTCCCGAATATCAGGGTCGGCCTCTGCAGATTCCGGACGATTACCTCTTCCAAGGAGGACTTCAGGGGAAAGAGGCTGACTATGACGTAGGATCTCTGCTTATGGTGCAGCACCCAGTACACGGCAGGTCATATGGACCGAACTGACCCAGGTCACACCACTACAGCAAGGTGACAAAGCTGGCTTCAGCTGGTCTCCAGGCGAACTGAGGCGCACAAACGGAATGCCAGCGCACACACGGACTGCTGCAGTTCAGGAATCCACGCAGGCTCTGCAGTGTTAGAAAGATTTCGCCTGTCCCTTGTCTTGCAACAGTCCTGTACTTGCGCTGACTTCTCTAAGTGGAGCTCTCGAGCATTTCAATCAGTCGAAAGCAGGAGAAGCAGTAATGGAAGCACAATGGATAAAACTCAGCTCCATCTTTTGTCTTTAAAAACTTACAGTTTTCTGACTATTACACTTTCATTTACACACAACTTCTGAATCTGAAAAGATGGATGTTTTGGATATTATATCATTGTTGAATCGGTACTCTAATCAATGTATCACAGTTTAAATGCAGCACCTGTTAGTGTGTGCCCTTCTATACACTGGAGGCCTAATGTTTTATACCTCCATGACTGTCTTCTCAAGATCAGTTATCAAGATTAGGAAAAATACACACACAAAGCAAATATATTGCTTATAAACTGCAGTTGACTTGAGCAATAAAGTTTCTGAGCAGTAAAAACACTAAAGATTTGTTTACAAGCAGAAGCTATTGTTGATCAAAGAGAACACACATTCAACAAAACAGGTTACATTTTTATTTTGCCTACTGAGATTCGAGTCATAGAAACTGAAATTCAAACTCGAGTTTATCGGCTTGAGAAGTCTTGTTTGTTTTTTGATGTTATATAATTGGATGTAAAATTCCAAATAATGAAATCAGAAAATGTTTGATTACATTAACGATTGCCTTGTAGGGATTGGTAGAATTTGTATATACTTCCTTGGTGCATCCATTTCCAGACACTATTAAGGTTCATCATCACTGTTACTTTTTTACATAAACATATAAAAGCATTGGTCTTCATCCAGACCAAGCTGCATAAATATCTACAGTTTTTTATTTATAAGAAATCATGTTTTTATTAATAAGATACTAATACATGTATAAAATACAATTTTTATTGTATCTAAAGTTAATTTATTCAAAATAATTACTTAACTGTAAAAAGCAAGTAATTTAAAGCAGTAGAAGTTCACAAAGCAATATAGGATATGGGATATAGGAATTACAGCAGATACAGTATATGGAGATGGGTGGGTTTATGTTACAGGGTGAAAAATGTGTGAGGTGGCAGGTGTCAATGACTGTGTTGACCCTTGGGTTTGTATATGGTGGACAGTGTGTCTAGTGTCTGTTTCCTCCCCCTAGATAAAGTCTTCAAGTGCAGACAGCAGACAGAGTCAAAAGACTTTGGGGAGACACAGACAGTAGCATTTCAAAGAGGAGGGGACTCACACAAAAAGAGGGGGACTCTGCAGTCAGGGGTAGAGGAAGGACTCAGCATTGTCTTCCTCCCCCCAGCCATCTGATGTTGTTCAGGTCAGTCAGGACTGAAGAGGATGCTTAAAACCACCGACAAACTACACCGAGTTTCTTCTCTGATACGGAAGGGCAGGCCCTCCGTGAGCTCAGATGAGGCCCGGGCCACTTCACATCGTGAGGCCCCATCATTGTTTGGGAAGAGGGGTAAAATATTTTAATGTTAAGAATGGCATGGTGGGAAGATTAAGGCAGCCATTTTGAAACTCCTAAAGAATGGTAGATTCAGCACTGAAAGGAGGACGTTTTTTCAAAGTGGACTTTAGTCAAGAATCACAGCATATGGTAAAAGTTCCAAATTTGACTCAAGTCGAGAAACACAGCCAAAGGGCTTAAGTGGAGGACCATGCACCCTTGGCTGAGGAGTGGCCCTCCTGTGAAGTGAGGCTTGGGCCAAATGGCCCTGCTGGCCCCTCCTCTCATAGGGCCTGCGGGAGGGAGCACAGCAAGTTAGTGATGGGAGCAGTTGTTGAGAACACTGATACTGGACGGCTCCTTTGGGATATTGGGTTTGGGTAACTGGGGTCCATGGGGCTCATGTGTTTCTGAGAGTGTGTGTCCCTCTTGGGTATTTTATGTCATGGGTTCAGTGTGTATCAGTCGGCAGTATTGCATGTTGTAATTACTAGAGTACAAAACAGGCAATTATGTAGTCTTGACTGGGTGCACTGGTGGCTCTGGGAGTCCTAGCACTCTTAGAATTGTGGCTATAAGAAAGGAAGCACAGGTTCAGGCACCTGGTACCCGAGAGCCAATGGTGCAAAGGTACCATCTGGGAAATCATGACAGAATGCCCTTTAGAGTTCCCCATGAAAAGTTTAAAATCAGTTCCTGTGCTTAGGGGTCACCATCCATGACATTTACAGGTGTGCAAAGGAACAAGTAACGGTTTATTCCATGCTGAAAAGAGAAGAAAAGGAACACAATGATTCAGCAGTGGGGCCTTCTTCAGGTGTCAAGAAACGTTGTTTCTTTTCAGCATGGAATAAACCTTTACTTGTTCCTTTGCAGCCTACGTATGCTGACGCAGCTACCTATTTGAACTTCATTTACAGGTGTCTTGACTTAATAAAGCACAGACATTTAAATTATTATTTTATGTATATAGCCCCGGATTAATAAACGGTGATAAAACGTGATATGCAATTAAAAAAAGGAAGTTCGTAATTAACATTAGAGACAATTCAGATATTCTACTACTGAAAGGAAACATTCAACCAGAAAACACATACATTTGAATCTTGTAACACAATAGCTCGATAAACAATTAAGACGTCATCACTTAAATTATAATTCGTCACTGAAAGCAAAATAGCTGTCCTTGTACCATAACATCCATCTGCTCTACTGCACTACATGCATTACACTGAAATTTCCCGCCTACACTGGAGGAGCTCTCACATCCGTCTGTCATGTGCGTCATCAGAAATGAGACCAGCTATTGGCTGAAACGCTGTCGCTTCAATCCCAGAAGTCAATCAAAGCTGGCGAGGAAGCGGGATTTACATCATTACCCGTGCAAGAGTGTTTAGCTTTGCTCTTCTGTAAATACTGTATCGTCACTTTTAGAGGTTTTATTAACCGTGATCATTAATTTACACGAACTGTTCTCAAAGTTTAGTGAATGTAGCCATGCCATATCGTTTGATATATTTTTTCGTGTAAATGCGTGATACCAATATATCACAATGTAAGCCTTAAAAAAGCTCCCATTACGTTTTGTGTACTTGTCGAAAAAAGAATGGATCGGGAAAATTGCCTTGGTCGCCGGGGCTGCTTGGACTTTTGGACAAAGGAGAACAACAGTATTATAACAAAGTGGAAGGTAATTGCACCAACATACTGTAGTTAGCTTAACGAACGTTATAGATCCTTTCAGATTTTTAATTTATATAACGTATTTATTTTTATTCACTGCCACTCTTTCTTTCTGCTGTTTTTCAAGGCATTGTTCATTTCATAAAAGTTGTACTAAGTGCACGTGTAAGAAGTGCACGTACAGTTCATTGCTTACAAACTTGAAACGACTCAATTCCAAACTTTGGTGTGACCTGCATTATTTTAGATATCTTTACAAGTGCAACCTATTTACTAAATCTCAATGAGCAAGGTACATAAATGTAAGTAAAAACGGTGTTTCTTCCTGCGTACAGTCAGTTCAAAGAGTGCAGAAAGGAAACCATCAAAAAGACCTACTGAAACAGTGCTACTCCGAAATTGGCAAGCTGCTTCAAAAAATACAAGGTAAGATAGCATATTAGTTCTCCCAATGTATAAAGAAAGTAAGACATTGGTTTATTTTATAACAAAGAGTAAACTAGTTCACAATGTTCGCTTGTTTGTGTTTGACAAGGGCTACCCTCTGTTGCTGCCACCCTTTCTCTGGAACTGACTGTTCTCTACAACACCTTACTGTTCAGTTTCGGCCTGTCAGACCATGGAGGAGCTGGAAGAGGAGAGCTCCTGACTCTGGGTCTAGTCAGAGGTATAACTGCGCCATCTACAGGAAGTGAAATGTATAGCCTGCCTCATCTGCCTGTGGTCAGAGCTGTTGCATGGACAGCATAATTCTATTTTTCCTGTAACACCTGTTTTATTCAGTGTTTCCAGACCAAGACATTTGTTTAGTGATCTTTTGGAGAACAGTAATGTTGCGGACCCCAGAGAAGCTTATAGGATTTGATCAGACAGCAGAAATGCTACTTTTGTCTTGCCAAGTAGTTTTATGAACAGTGAGCCGAAAGTCTACTAGTATTTTGGCAGTGAGAGGTATTGGTAATAGTAATTGGTTTTATTGTTATGTTTGTAACCTGATACTCTAAAACCTGTAGGCTTTTCACTATGTATTTTGTGATTTTGAGTGTTTTATGATTTTTGGTGCAAGATAATGTGCTGTGTATATGCTTAAGACTGACCTTGTTTAAATCCTATTTACTCTGCCAGATGCAACACCGTTATTATATTACTTTTATTTTAAAATTAGCATACAGTCCAGTGTCAAACAGTAAAGAGTTCTCTATCTAGGACAGCATGTAACCAAGACCACCTCCATTTCAGGCCTCTTTGAGTTTCAATAATGGGAAAGAACTGTGCAGTATGTCGCAGTTGAATTTCAGTGAGTAAATCATCTATAAAGTACTCGTGAGTAGGTGCTGTACTTTAGGAATGACTCCAATGTGATTTCACTTCGCCTAGCACTGGAAGCCTTGGACAGTGAGCCACAAAGCTCTGACCCCCTAGATCTGTGGCGAGCAGTACTGCAGATCTCCGGCTCTCAGGAATGGATCGTTTTCTTCCACCAGCTGGCTTGTCTGCAGTGGGCAGAGTGGCTATCTGCCGGCCAGCTTGAGAAGATCAGGGAACTGGCCGTCTTGCTGGCCGACTCACGGGTGAGCCACTGTCGAATGGCAGAAAGGTTGTTTCTTTTGTTCGTATTGCATTAAGAGGAACATTTGTGTGGTCCGGTGAAGTCATTGACTTTAGCCTTGCCGTGCCCCGAAATTCTCAGGGAGTCCCTGGGACGCAAATGTGAACCAGGCTTTTCATCTCCATGGGTTTTCCAGTGGTGAATTGAAAATTTACACTAAACAAAATGATTGATCCAGTGGTTGTGATTTAAAAGTGATTTGGTTAAAGTAAAAAGTAGATTTCTGTCAAATGTCCATGAAGTCTGTATTCCCTTTTAGATAGAAGTAAGGAATTTGCTCTGTTTTATGAAATCCACAGGTGTCATCTTAATTTCACCAGACCATAGTAGGAGAGCTGGTGAAATATCCTGCAAGCAGACTGTTGTCCTTTGCTCTCACAAGAGGGTGTGTGAATGGGTTAATCCAGTAAAGACAGTAACATTAAAAACATCCTTTAGGCCACCCAAAAAAATCTCTCTTGCTTGTGCTAAGGGAATGGTTTCAGTTCATTAGTCCTGGAAGTTTCTGCTTCCTGCTAAAAGTGTTTTGTTTTGTGAAATCAACTAGTGATCCAAGGAAAAACAAGCTTACATCTGTAACCTTGACACCCTTGAATTGGCTTCCATCCCTTTTCATCTTGAAGAATTGAGAAGGTCAATAAAACTGCATCAAAAGAAGATGGTTGGATTTCTTTTGGCGTGTTTGCTTTAACCTGCCGTGAGAAATGGCCTTGTTGTCAGTTGTGAGGGTTTTACAGACTTACAGGCAGTTAATGCAGTCATCCTTTATTTTCCAGTTATTAATGTCTGTAGTCCGCTGGCTGGTTTTTGTCACAGGGCTAGCTTAATATAGCCCATTAAAAATCAAATCAAATCAAAGTTTATTTATCAAATGCACAACAATACGGCGTGCAGCAGTAGTTGCTGGCAATGAAATGTCTTTTCTGCGAGCTCACAAGAATCACAAAAATCACAAATCACAGCATTCATGTTACGTTTCTGAAATTGAATAAAACTCAATATGAGTAGAGC